TCAGCGCCGACTAGACAAATGGTGTAATAATTGGCGACAAAAGTTTTTCGCACGGGTTCAAAACCCGGCTACTCACTTTCCGAAGTACCATTATGTTCTTTTCAGTCAGCGCTGACTAGTCCAATGGTGTAACTATCGAATAAAACACTAATAAAACAACATATTCGCCTGATTGAGAGCGAAGTATCTGAATGAGAGCGAGAGCCAAAAAAATTGAAATTTCGGGTCCAGACGCCTCTTGCCATTTCTTGGCAAGTAGGGGACGGGCTATTCCAAGAAGCGGTGCAAATTGAAGGTCTCATCAGCAGCTTCGCGAGCATATGCGTGTCATCGTCATCGGATGCTGCAGCGAGGAGCTAGACAAGTTGCTAGATTTGCCCAGATTGGCTATTTCTGCTCAAACTGTTTCAGGGCGGTATCGCGTCGGGCGGTGGGCTCTGCTGTAGCTTCTGCTCCCCGCTGTAGCTCCACAACGAGAGACTCCCACAGGATGACCAGGGTAGCGGCTTGAAGCTACGGGCTAGCCCTTCAATTCAAGCTACACAGCAAGCTCCACCTCTCAGTGGTAGTCCGGCTACAGCGTATCGCGCAATCTCGCTCTCAATCAGATGCTACGCTCTCAATCAGGCGAATATGTTGTGATGTTGTATCCAATAGTCTATTGGATAGAGTTACACCGTTAAACTAGGCAGCTGCTGACTTAGGCTAATGGTGTAGCTTTATCGAATAAAAGATATGCTCAGAGCTCATTTGCACCCGGCTGGATCACTTGGGTCTGTATGGCTTGGATCTCCGGGGACGGACCCCTCGCCTAACGCTGATAGTTCTAGGTGCACTTTTTTTCCAAAGTAAAGTGATTCGGCCGGTGTTTGAACTCGTGCGGGTATCCTTTTATTGGATAAAGTTACACCATTGGACAAGTCAGCCGCTGACTTGTCCAATGGTGTAACTCTTTCGAATAAAATATTATATGCTCAGAGCTCATTTGCACCCGGCTGGATCACTTGGGTCTCTTTCACAAGCACCCTTAGTTCTCTTCCTGCAGCGCCTGGCGAGGGGTCCGTCCCCGGAGATCCAAGCCATACAGACCCAAGTGATCCAGCCGGGTGCAAATGAGCTCTGAGCATATCTTTTATTCGATAAAGCTACACCACTACCCTAGTCAGTGCTGACTAGTCTCAGTGCTGACTAGTCTAATGGTGTAACTTTATCCAATAAAAGGATACCCGCACGAGTTCAAACACCGGCTGGATCACTTTACTTTGGAAAAATAGTGCACCTAGGACTATCATCAGCGATAGGCGAGGGGTCCGTCCCCGAAGATCCAAGCCATACAGACCCAAGTGATCCAGCCGGGTGCAAATGAGCTCTGAGCATATCTTTTATTCGATAAAGCTACACCATTAGCCTAGTCAGCGCTGACTAGGCTAATGGTGTAGCTTTATCGAATAGCCCCTGCCGTCGGCATATCTCTCAGTATGTTGAGAGCCTTGCTCCACTGGTCCCTTTTCGGGCCGGCGTCGATAGCCAAGCTAATCCTCATGGCGTCGGGAGTCAATTCTGCCATCCGCATCGCGCTTAGTAGTTCCAGGGCCTACTCCCACTTCCCTCCCTTTGCGCATGCCCCGATGACTGAGTTACTGAGGTATAGCTGATAACAGTGGGGGCTACCCCTGCCGTCGGCATATCTCTCAGGATGTTCAGTGCCTCGCTCCACTGGTCCCCTTTCACGTACGCGTCGACAGCAGAGTTGAATCTCATGTGGTCGGGAGTCAATCCTGCCACGCTTAGTATAGCTCCAGAGCCTCCTCCCACTTCCTTCCCTTGCGCATGCCGCGATGGCTGAGTTATAGTTGATAACAGTGGGGGCTACCCCCGCTGTCGGCATATCACTCAGTGTATTCAGCGCTTCGCTCCACTGGCCCCCTTTCGCGCACGTGCCGATAGAAGGGGTGAACCGCATGACATTGGGAGTCCGTTCTACCGCCCGCAACTCGTGCAGAAGCTCCACAGCGATTTCCCAACGACCCCCTTGGAACAAGCGTCAATAGTAGAGGTGAAACTAATGGCGTCGGGAGTACCCCTTCCCGCTGTCATCTCCTTCAGTAGCCTTAAGGTCTCATTCCGTGGTTTGCCCTTAGCGCACGTAGCGATGTAGCAGAAAAAATTGGGGGCTATATCCCACCCGTCGGCATCTCGCTGAAAAGCGTCACAGCCTGTTTCCACTACCTCCTCCCACACCCGGTGATGGCCATGCTGTACGATTTCCGATCATTGACCCCACCAGGGAGTTCTTGATGCCTTGTAGAGCCTTCAGCGCTTTTCTGATGCCTTGTAGAGCCTTCAGCGCTTTTCTGCGGTCCCCACTCATCGAATCGCGTAGCATGTTTTTCAACTCCGTGAACGATTGGGTGCGGCCTTCCCTCTTCCACGCCTGCCAATTAGGACCAGATGGCGAATCGGGCATGAATGAATGATCCTTTGCGGGATCTTCCTTCAACCCTAGCAGTGCTATTTGCGGCGTCAGGAGCAGGACCTCGAGCATGGAGCTCAACCGGCGTCCCTACGTCCCGCCGTCGGGCTGGTCGCTCATTTGTCCGCGTACGTGGAAATACACCTCAGGCCCGGCAGTTCCCTCTCGACACACGGCAGGCCTCACGCAGAGGCAATGCATCATGAGACCTGTGCCGATTTGCAACACCAATGTCTGACACGGCAGCGCACGCAGACGGAAGCGCAATCAGTGTTAACAAGTTCATTCCAACATGAATGAAAGGCACATCAGGCTTACAGGCAAATTTAAATTTGCACAGCGGTTGGTACGGGAGCAAACAAATGGAACGGAGTAGACTAGGCCACGTGCAGAGGCGGCGTCATGTCAAACAATTTGAAATTCCCCGTGTTGAACGACGAACATACATCGGGACTAGCATTTTTTCTTGAAAACAAGGGAAAACGACACAACAGGGTATACTCTGGTCGAAAAGCGACTGAGCTGGGTACATGCTGCTCATCAGCGCGAAATGTAGTAATATGATTGGTCAGCGCCCACCCCCGTTGCGTCGGAACAAGCGCAGGGCATACCTTGCCGTGACTACTTTTCTTCAACACTGTACCCTATTTTGGAAATGTACCCTGACCTGACGGGAAATGAGACCCTTTCATCAACAACTTTGGCGAAACATCACCCACCATCAACTCTTCCCGCTATAAATCAACAATGGCCGGGTAAAACGCCATCAAGCACAATTCCGTTTGGTAGCGACTAGCAGTGCTTGCGCACACACGTACAATACCCCGTGGACTAGACTACTGCTTGCTGTAGTCTATCTATATGGGAGATGTACTGGTCGCGCTAAGAAGGCGAGACCGATCCAGCATGGTTAAATGCATCCTTTCGCCAAATTGTGGCGAGTGGTGGCGGCGAGCTCGCGCCCGAGAAGATGGGGGAAGGGAAGTACGACTAGCACACACACACTTTGAGTCTACACGGACACATAGTCTTATCATCGTTACTCAAGCAGCAGGACACTGCTGTGTCATCCAACTCCTGCTCCCTCCCTATGGGTGGAGAGAAGAGTGCTTGCGTTTGTTGTTCATCCCGCTAAAGCCTAGCGTCTACGTTAGTTGGTTGGCTGGTAAGCGCGATCGATACCATACAAATGGCGGTAGTAATTCAAGCGACACACACACCACAGGACACACGCACGCATAGACGGCACCGGCAGGAGGGAGTGGCGGCAAATGTTTGACGAAAGGGTCTCATTTTCCGTCAGGTCAGGGTACACTTCCGAAATCAGGGTACAGTTTTGAAGAAAAGCAGCCACGGCAGGGTATACCTTGCGCTTTTGATGACGCAACGGGGTGAAAGTGGACGCTGACCCATCATATGACTCCAATTTACACTGATGAACAGTTCTTTTTTTTTCTCCAACATTGGACTCTCTGTCGTCTGCCCCTCTGGCCCCTATCCTCCACTTCTACTAGCTAGACAACCCAACCGGGGTCACATAGGAGGGGGGGGCTGGACCCCCTCCTGCAGTTCATGCCTGAGGTATTTCATCGCGAGAAGGGTACAGCAATCCCAATCCCTTCCCTCGCGACTTACGAAGTCGATTATGGTTTACTAACAACGAGCTTTCTTTGCAGCGCGTCTCTTTCATCCTAGACCAGGATTTATTAAGTGAGGAAAATACTCACTCTCTGTCGGGACTCGAACCCATGACCTGGCCCTTAGCAGGCTGCGAGGTTACCCACTATACCACCGGGGCGACCGGTATGTACCCGGCTGCGTCGCTTTCGACCAGCGTATACCCTGTTGTATTATTATTTTATTTTTTTCCTTCCGACAATTGCAGATGTATGCATACCTCAGAAAACTTTCACTTAATGTCTCATACTCTACATGAATATTAAACCAATACGAAGTACAACAACATACAGTGGAACCTCGCTTAAGGTAACGAAAATTAAGTTAACTTCCCCGGTAAAGTTAACAATTTTTTGCGGAAACATGGTGCCCCGCAGAAAGTATTTCACACAGGGGGGGTAAAATACAGTCCACGGACCCCCTCAATACCTCTGCGATTTGTTCGAGAAGGCAACGATGCCTTGTAGCGTCGTGGCCGCCAACGACTCCAAAAAAACGCCGCGGGTTTTGAAGAACTTGTTTGTTGAAGTAAACCCAGGCCTCACTAGCGCAGAAGTGCGTGAGGCAGTGAAGACTTAGCTTTCCGTTGAGGATGACCCTGACGTGTTGGAAGAGGAGGTAGCTATGGAACTGGAGATTGTAGAGAACAACCTGGCTAACCTAGCGGTTGATGATGACTCCACGGACGATGAAGATGGTGGGGGTAGACCAGAGTCGTGCGTAACATCTTCGATGACAGAGGCCGAAGTTCGCGGTAGCCTAGAGAAGGTTCGCTCCTACTTGTACGCGAACGGAAAGGATGGAGAGTACCGCGAGACCCAGTACCTGCTCTCGAAAGTTGTGCATTCGTTCACTCACGAAACTCAAGTGAAGCGGCGAGCCAAGGAGGGGGGGGAGCTGCAGGCAACTCTGCGCGACATGTGGAGGTCGTAGAGTGTGCGGTACAAACGACCAGAGCTGTGTTTGGGGTGGCCTATGTATGTCTTGAATGCGTGGCACCGCATGAGACTACTACACAGGAGGAGTGGCTGTACATTGCGATCGACGACAGTTTTGAGAAATGTGTGCGTGGGTTCAAGCATTCCAACATAGCATCTCGGTTATAGTGTTGTTTAGTAAAATGGACATAAAAATATGCTCCCTCACTTTTTTCAGTCTCCTCTCTCGTCAAACACGTAGTGGAGCCCAATGCGCGTCTATTGAGGTATTCACCGCCTCTTTTGGCCCCGGGGATGGTGAGTTGTGGTCCCCTGAATTATAAGTTAACTTCCCCGCCTTAAGTTAACATTTTTTCGGGAAAACCATGTGTTAACTTGAGCGAGGTTCGACTGNTGCGTTCGTAAGCTTGCTAAAATACTACTGCGTTGATGTCCGCTTGTAAAAGCTGAAATCCAACAAATGCTTTGATCCATGCTACATCTCCGTGTTGGAAAAGCCCTTTCATCTCCGTTCATGATAACATCTTACCCTATTCTACGCAAATCTGTCACATCTCAAACAAGACGCCAACTTCAAACGAAAACGCGTTCTACGATGCGTCTACACTCCATCCCCATATCATTGGCGTTGACTGGTTCGAGGTTGATCTTGTTCGCCTGTTTTCANCAACAAATGCTTTGATCCATGCTACATCTCCGTGTTGGAAACGCCCTTTCGTCTCCGTTCATGATATAACATCTTACCCTATTCTACGCAAATCTGTCACATCTACTCTCAAACAAGACGCCAACCTCAAACGAAAACGCGTTGTACGATGCGTCTACACTCCATCCCCATATCATTGGCGTTGACTGGTTCGAGGTCGATCTTGTTCGCCTGTTTTCAGCGTCTTGACGCCTGCGCAATGCGAGCTTGTACCTCTGCACTCGCCGAGATATGGCCAGCTGTGTAGCNCATCGCTGGTCGCGCTGCCGTTCCGCAAGTGTACCTGTGCTTGCGGGTCTGCGTGTGTGACATCGAGGAGTATTTCTTTGTTGCGGTACCCCGGAGAAGATGCTTTCGTGAGGACTTCTGAGTCTACCTCGCAGTTGAGGCGGCTGGAGCAAATGCGACGAGCTGACCAAAGATCTGACGAGTTGCTGCACTCTCCCGGTTNNTACCGCATCACCGCAATGGGTGTGTTGATACCAACAACAGTCCAGTAGGAAACTGAAAAGTCATCACGTGCCTGAGCGGGCCTACTACCCAAGTAGACGGCGGGCTGCAGCTGACGATGGCGCTGCTGTAGGTCTTGGGGTTGCTGCTGCTGTGCAGGCCCTCGCCGTTGGTGGCCTCTTCGTCTGGTTGGGTGTCGTCAGCCGCGCATGCGGCTGCCCATCGGCGCTACCCAATCACCCTCGACAAAGTCGTTGACGCTAGCGTGTTGGATAAACCGGGTAGGCCGAAGCTTGTAGGTTTGTGGAGAAAGGCAGCTCGGCCAGTGAGGGCCGAGATGGGAAAGTCTTGTATTAGAGGGAAGAGGGAAGGGCAGAGACCACTCGAGGCCGAGCAGCCGAAGAGTGCGTCACCACACCTATCCGTCACGCAATTCAGATCACTCATCGAATCTCCGAAGAACCAAGCAGAAACTCCCTGTTCCTCCGCGATCTACCAACTGCAATCTCCGTAGATCCATGTCCCATACTCAACCACATTACTATGCTACGAGTATATCTAACAAACACTCCTAGATATATCAGGAGGTTAAGGTCACCAAAACTCATCGAAAGACAGCTACCCCCACTTGTCAAGTACACAGCACACAACACAAACAACCACCAGAAATGTCAACAAAAAACAACAGTATGTGCACTAGTGACGGGTGAGGAGCAATAACGTAGAAAGCCCATCGGTTGGAGCAGCAGCGCATGAATGGATTCATTGGTTTACAGCAAAAACGGCAATTGAGTCGGGACATTTGACATTGGACGCACAATAGACCCAGAAAAACCATTGGTGTCAACAGGTGATTCTGGACCAAAAAATATTTCCGTTTCAAATAACTCCACTTCGTTCGCCCGTAATGAAAGCGCACTCACAAGCACTTTCCTGGAACCAAGCTTCCGCGGGTCAGTGCGAGCGGGGCTAGAGGCGAATGTGCTCAGGATCGCCTTTGGCAGCTTGCCGACGGCGGCAAAAGGACGAAACGATTAGAAATGTGCGTGCGATTGATTCGGTATGCACTTTCATTCGTGGGTTTTCAAGTGACCCCGTTGTTAATTAATGAATACGGACACCGCTTCGACGTTAAGCAACAAATGTGGACACCGCTTCGACGCGGCTGCCTTTCTCAGCTTCTGAGCATGGAAATCACACTCGTGACTCAACGGCAGGGTACTCGATGGCCTCGAGAGCGTTTTGGCTCATCTCCACTCATATATCCATTCACTCTTCACAGACGCCGCGAACTCTTGGAAAAGCAGGTCTTCTCCCTTGTGCTTCGACCACGGTTATTGTTGAGCGCCCCTAAAATCCTAGCCCATGACTGGCGAAATGCAAATAGCTGCTCCTCAAACGGCAACGCCTTAGATCGGGAAGCAGTTTTTGGTGTCGAAAGCACAGAAATCACTGCTAGAAATCACCGGGATCAACAAAATATTTAGGTACGCTGAGAGAAATCGAGCAACGGTCATAATAACTTGCGCGCCGGCCTTCAACCTGGCGGGGGGGAAGCATGTTTTGGTGAATGCTTGAATACGTTCTACAGACAGGTGGCCTAGAGCTGAGGCGCAAACCCTCCGCCTGAGGCAGTACTTCCAACTCCTATGTAGTTGCTGGTCTCCCTCCTAAATACTTGTTCTTCGGCCACCCAGTCACACGATAAAAAACGAGCAAAGCGCGCCTGGTCGTCATGCCGTTTTCTTGCTGATCAGCGCAATCTCTCAAGGTTTAACATCAGAGAGAGTCCCTCACTGGTGCCGGTATGTGCCCGCCAGATTCACCGGCATACAACGGGCATCCGGTCCTACTCACAGGTGAGCAGATAGATGCAAGATTCCATCAGTGTCCCGCAATTTCACCGCCACTACATGTATACCAGGCAGTGGCACTATTCACTGCCACTTTTGAGGGACCCCGAACGTACTTCTGCTGTAGATGGATAGTCTAGACTGGTGATCACGGCTCGCACAAACGGGATTTGCAAAAACATCCGAGTTAGCGGCAATTGGCCTTCAACGCCCCTCTGGCGAACAACACCTCTGCCAGAGGCATTGCTCGTTAGGCAGCCAGGATTCGGACTGGGCCAGAAACATGCGAGTGGGTGGAACGAAAAACACTCAGCGCCGTGGACGACATGGACGGACTTATTACCGCTGCTTACACTGATCTTCCATCGAACAACGCACTCTTTTTGCACAGTATCTCTTGTACTGCTGTCCAGGATGTGAAGTTCTAGAGGATGTGCAAAGCAACACCAAAGCGATGAGATCGTGAAAGACGTTCTGTAAGACATCATGACTGTACAGTCTGTAGTGTTGGAAGTGTACAAACATTCTGTGTAGCGTTGTAGAGTGCATCGCGCGCGTGCGCGAGAATTCATCGACCGTGGAGGGAACTACTGCTGTAGTCTGGCTGCTACTGTCCGGCATGTAAGCAGCCCGGCGGCGGCACGCCTTGCCACCTACCGCAGTGTCGGGACGTTCCCTGCGAATGCACAACATGCAATCGTATGCATACATGATGCATACATACCTGGTATACACAATCTCTACTCTCTATCTACCTGATTCTGACGTTGGTGGCAGTGCAAGTCCTAAGTGCAGGCTGCTCTCGTGTAGTATCTTCAGTGGAGAGAGCGAGGAGCCTGGTGCTCGAGGCGCCGCACACCGGTCGCCCCGGTGGTCTAGTGGTATTGTCGCAATCCGACAGTCGCAGAGGTCGTGAGTTCGAATCCCCATGGGGTGAAAAGTTTACGAATTGTGCGTGTGAAAGCGAAATAAAGCTGACAAGCGCTCGTGAGTACCAAACTTCGAAGTTAGCACCGTTGACGAGGGAAAGGGACGGCTGGACCAGCACGCACCGCAGGAGGAAGGTGGGGCATGAAAAGAAAAAAAATGAAGAAGCCCTGGTGTTACCCCCTCCTGTGTGACCTGGATGATCAGAGTACGAAAAAATATACTGAAAGTGTAGTACTCTACATACGCTGAAAAGTGTAGACTAGTACACGTCTCACCACGAAAAATGGGGGGACTGTCGCAATAATAAATAGGACGAAAACACACACACACTAAAAACACACACACAGCTCTCTCCCGAGCTGTCGGCCGGGCAAAACGGTATCTTCTATAGCTTCGGAGGAAAGAAGAGCGTGGCGCCGGCTGCCGACTGCTAACCATGGCGGTGTATCAACGTTCGTGAGGATTTCCACAGGAGGGACCGGCATGTTCTGGCGTGGAACCTCACAGAACGGACGGCCGGTCCGGGCCGGCGGTCGCCGTTGGCTGTGCCTTGCATCGCCTAATCGCGTTGTTGCAACGGGACTGTCAAATACACTAGTACCTCCAGTGTCCCGTTCGCGCGCCCCCCATTAAATGGGCAGCCGACCTGCCATACAGAGCGCGAGCAGAGAGTCCGAGCTACTCTGTGCTTGGTTCGGCTATATACGACGCTGTACCGCGGGGCCATCGTCTGCTGTGCTGCTGGAATCTTCTCGTTCTCGAACATCAGGTAGCAGTTTTCCATCCAGTGACGTCTCAACCAAAGCGAACTTTGGTGCTACTTTACACACAGGTCGCCTCAATGAAGTTCGCCAGTGCCTCTCGCTGACACGCGTTCGACAGCATCATGTGTGATCCCGCTGCCATGTACTCCCACAGCTCTGTGGTGTTGTGGGTATCGCAAGGCCAATGTTCTCCCATGTCGAGAATATCCCACGGGATCCACGCCTACGTGCCCGTATCAATCATTTGCTATCAAGGAGTATTTGTTCTGTTCTGTCCTGCTGTGTACATCGCATATCGCATATCGCCACCTCAATTGAAACGGCTGTGTGCTGTGTGTCTTGCGACAATAACTATGCAATAATTGAAATAGGAACAGAGGTCCCTGTTTAAGGTCGCCCTGTGACAGACGAAATGACCGGCCTTAGAGAGAGCACCCGGCCTTATTGGAAACGGGTCTTGTTTAAGGCCGGTACCGGCCTTATAGCTAGAGAACTGAGTATTCTTCCGATCCTTGAACGCGGCGAGATACGTCCTCCTGGCTATGAGCTTCCACTGGATGCCGGTCTCGTCGACGTTGAAGATGTTCCTCGCCGGGTACTTCTCGCAAGCAGCGCGGACCTCCTCCATGCCCTCTTTGATGCGGTCGTGGTCGACGCTGCCGGCCGTCCCATGAAGTTTGTGGCTGTGGAGGTCGTTGCGCTTCACGAAGTTCTTGCTCCACTTGTCGCCAGCCTTGAAGTCCTCGAGCCTCTTCCTCACAGAGTCAGTCGTTTCGCCGAGCCCAACAGGGTCGCCTTGGCAGAGCGGCCGAACGATCGGATGACGTTGCCGGTGACGGTGTACTTCGCCATCCGCGCCTTGTTGACAAGGTCCAAAACTAAAGAATCCAACTGTACAAAGTCAGCAGCAAGGACCACAGGGTTCAAATCGGTGTGCGCGGGTTAGAACAGCAGTACTGCCTTCACGGATGAAAAATATCACAATGTTACGCACCAGCACCAAAGTTCACGCACGCAGAGGCTACACTTGTGGAAAGGTTGACGTTTGCCGACCCTAGCCAAAATGTACATGCAGATAAAACGAGCAGTGGAAAAAAAATGTACTTAAAAATGTGTGCGCCTTTTTTGTTGTGTGTGGGTGGTGCATCAGATGTAAAATGTTCGTGATGCTTCCAATGCAGTTGACCGCGCAAAGCACAATCTCAGTGCATATCCAGACTGCTTTGGGGGGGTTCGCTATTTGCACACATCAAGCACTGCGATTTTTCTTGAAAGTGCGATATGTACCGACTGGTACAAACGGCAGGCTGAAAATACAAAAAATCAACACAGAGTGGTACAAACGGCAGGCTGAAAAAATAAAAAAAACAGGAGCATACCTCTGAGAAATCCCCCGCCCGAAGGTTCTTCCTGGTGGTGGCGCTGCTGCGAGTTTTGGCGGCCTGATTCTCTATCTTTGCCCGCTCGGCCTTGACGGTACGCGCCGTGCGCTCCCCGCAGTTGAAGTGCTCTACGATCGACTTCTGCGTCCGTGTGCCCTTGTCCAGAAGACGGAGGATCTCCATCTTGGTGCCGATGTCCATCCGCGTGCGCGAACCAGTCNGCGATCGACTTCTGCGTCCGCGTGCCCTTGTCCAGCAGACGGAGGATCTCCATCTTGGTGCCGATGTCCATCCGCGTGCGCGAACCAGTCATGTCCGGGTGGTTGGCTGGTTTCGTTTTTTTTTGTCTTGCCGTGTCTCCGCTCTCCGTGGCTGACCCTTTGCGCTTGCCCTTGCCAGCTGTGGAGGCATTACTGCCCTTTTGCTTGGAGGCAACGCATGCAAAGCAGATGCAGGCGGTTTCGTACTCCGCATCTTGGTCTTGTTCCCCACACAGTCCGTGCAGTCTGCCGCCACACCCTTCGTGACATTGGTGGCCGTGAGGGGCTACTGGCGTCTGGTCTGGCAGTTGGCACAGCTCACCAGCCGCACAAGGCATGTGTGCCCCTACTGGTTGGGTCGGTAGGGGTACGCTAGGTATTGCTGTTGTGTAGAGCTCTGGAGTGGTTGTGTTGCGGCTTGAATAATGCTGCCGAAGAACTGGGTGCGTCACACCAAAACCGGCCTTATATAGGGTGCGCGGACGCCCTTGTCGGCCTTAAATAGGGACTATGCCTGTTTAAGGCCTGTGCGGCCTTAAAAAGGAAGGCAAGTGTGACACACGATTTCACCGGCCTCAAAAAGGGCCACCGGCCTTAAATTTGCGGCCGTAAATAGGGACCTCTACTGTATCGCCGCCTCGATTGAAACGGCTGTGTGTTGTGTGTCTTGCGATAATAACTATGCAATTATTGAAGTAGGAACATGCGGTGGCCCAGGCAGCCGGTCCCCACATACCTACGCGGTAGCTAGCCTACCTTGCGATGCACGATTCACACGCGCACAGCAGTTTTCCTACTTCGATGGTCATGCCCAACACAATACATATGAGGCCTTTTTGAGCCCAAGGTCGGTCTCTTGTTCTTGTGGTCTTCCGAGCACGTATGCATGGTACTTCATATATCCACGTACTTCTGTATGACAGCAGGCCATAAGGACGGCAGTGAGTGCTCGTACTTCGCACAAGGGAACTACCGTATGTAGCCATCCTCTCTTTTGATGCACGCATGAACTACGGTTTTTACACTACATTTTGATCCCTTCACTACTGTAGCTCTACAATTCTACATTAGAACAAGCTTGGGAGAAGCCTTGGCTCCAGCCGAAGTGAAGTGTCCGACTGCATGCGACACAGGATCTTCCACTGCCATGCTCGTCGGAGCGTTGTACATATTTAGTGGACTCGCCCACCCCTCCTGTTTCACGAATTTTGACGCCCTACTTGTGCACCTTGTACCAAGGCCTTTCAAGGAAGCAGTATTCTGTCTGTATCCTTGCTCGTTGGTGTGGATTCTGCTGTTCTGTACATACTTACCTACAGCACTGTTGTAGAACAAGACGTTTGGAGTCGTGAACCTTTTGGGGTGGGTGTCGATACCATCTTGGGGTCACGATTTGCGTAAGCAATACTGCCCGACATCGCGCGCACGACTCAAGCGTTGCTTCCCTGCTTGGCAATCGGCACGACCTGACGTCGAAGGTCCACCACAAGTACACCCCATGTGCATATGTCTGTTATCGACGCGCCTGCCACTGACAGGGTCATCTGCTGCTGACTGCCTCCTCAGAGGGAGAGGAGGCGGCGGAGCAGCGATGGACAAAGAGGACAGTTGGTCCTCAGAGGCCTCAGGTACCGGGCTTTCAGTGTTCAGTGCCTCATGGAATATATACCGATGCTGACATAAACGCACCGTCTACAACGCCGAACAGACAGACTTCATGAATGTGTTGATTGCGGCACCGCCACGGGAGGTTTTCCGACGACCGTTTGAGACGGTTAATTCTGGGTCGATTATTGTCCCATGGATTCTCTGTAAAGCCGTCACGGGTTCGCACGGATATGATTGAAATCGAGCAAGCTCAAAGGTACACGGCCTTCGAAACTTGTTTGCGTAGAAAGCCTCAAGGCGGTAGAAGCACCTGGACTCCGGGCATAACTGTCAACGAAGTTCGCTTAACTTAGGTATCTCACTTGTACTCCTGAAGCAGTCGGGCTCGAATCTTCCTGTGAGCCCCGAAACTTCCTTGAAATTCCTCCGACTGGTTTACACCCCCCTCCCCGCTTCCCCACCAGTCGAAGCTGCCAGGCAAGAACGCTGAGTTCTCTCTTCGTTCCTTTCTTCTCTTTTTGCTCACCCCCGTTGAACAGGCGACCTCCCCCCAACTCTACTGGTGGAGGCTATCGAAAGCGGCGACCGAGCTTCGGTGTCAAAGGTGTTGGAAGGATTGACCCCTGACGAACGGCAACGCGAGCTTACGACAGCATGCGCTGGGAGTGGTTCAGGCCGAAGCTATGGTACCGACCTGTCGGCACCGTCGGCACAAACTTCAGAGACGGCCATGCTCCCCGTGTTTCATGCGGCGTACGTTGGCCACGTTGACGTTTTCTCGGAAGTGCATGGCGCGCTGAGGGCCAACCTGTCCCATGCTGCGGTGAGCCTCGGGAAGATGTCTTGAAGGGCCGGGAAACCTTGTACCACCGGCAACGTTACTGTTGTGTTGAGCTCTCGTATCGTTGCCATCCACGCTCTCAAACGGCGTACGTTGCATGCGTGTGTGTCTTCATTATGGTCATGGACCACATCGACCTACTGACCAATGAAAAGACATCACTCTCGGTGCGACTGAAAACATGAGGACCATGATCTCGGACCTCGTGACGGGGGGCGCCATGCGGGACGCCAGGATGTTCTCCGGATTATTGGAATATGGTGTGTTAATCAGCAGCGACGCTTATTGGCAGACGACGTCAGTCATGTAGCGCGATAACAAAAACAGTACCATGCGGAACGCTTACTAGATAGCGGGCTCCCCAAGGGGGCTCGTGAAACGCAGGGCACTGCTGAAAACTGGGATAAGGCCAGATCAGGGAGGG